TCTATTGCTGTGATTATCGAGGACGTCTTAAACACATATTTAAACAATGTTGTTTCATGTTTCTGACGATGATAAGATAGTTGCCAATGTTCTAATTTCGAGAAAGGTATTAAGAGTAGCATTTCATCATTTTATGTGCCCAGTTTTCATAGCGTGTAACAATCAAAACGAAATTACAGACATATATAAACATAAAATAGGGAATTCGAACTCACAACAGTTACTCGAAAATAAACAATGCCACGACACATTGCCCAAAATTAGACAGACTGATATAGCATGATGTTAATGCACTCTTACAACGACTAGTTGGATATGCGCAATTCGAATATCCGACTTCACAAACAACGTGTAGAAAATAATTCTGCACACTAATAAAGTCTAGAATATGTAATGAACTAAAATTTAATTGAACTTTTAGTTTAATGTAAATTATTGTTATTTTGAGGGAAACATCTCCGAGATATTTTGAACTTGTATGTATTAGCAAATTATAAGAGATAGTTTTACTTTATTTTTTGCTTTATAACAAATCAAAACGAAAATTTGCATATTCATAGAATGTTATAAGAGATACTGACAGGGAAAGTCTCTTTTCATGTTATACTTACAATCATCTAGTAGATTTTAGAAATCGTACAAAGGATTCAGATTTGAAAAAGGCAAAATATTGGGTTATCATTAAACTTGTATCGTCTAAACTTGTCGTTTGTGTCGTATTATGAGAACTTTGTAAGATATTTTTATGATTTGTATTCATAGTTCAGATGATGATTAATAACGTTTCACGAACGAGGATGAGTTGTTTGTATTGAAGCCGTTGGAGTTTACTTGCTAGAATATTTTATAGTAGACATATATCAACTTCGTCCCCTTCCTATTTTTTTTAAATTATACCATCATAAAAAATATTGAGGATCATATACGTCAACATACACTCTTACAAAGAACATTAACATCACTCTTTATGTTGAACGCAAACAATAATTTTGCTCACTGCTTCATTAATTCATGTGTTATAAATTATTAAAATTTTGACACAAACTTTTATGAGCAGACATGTGTAGTTTAGTGTGACATTTAAAGCATTTACAGCTATTATACCAATCCTAATTGCGTGTTTTTGTTTTCATGTGTACATATCGAATCTACTTACCTCAAAGAGAAAGCTGAGTCCCGAAGATGTCGACAATTAATCATGAGACTACATTGTTTATGACGTTGTTAATGCTATGTTAATTGTTTCCCATTGTTAGTATTTTGGCGCTCAGCTACAGGTTGATAACTTCCTCAAAGTGTAATAGATACTCACGTTGAAAGTGCGCCCTCTTCGACAGGGGTCAACAATGGTGAAAGTTCATCTTTAGTGATAGGCCTGGGTCGCGTGACAGAGACACTGGTCATACAACAGTTAGACCTCTTCGACGCAGACACACATCAAAATGGGAATGTTTTGGAAGTTTACAGGACTGTTTATTGTCAGCATTGCAATATACATTGCATACATATCGAGAGACACCTTTGACCCAGGTGAGATAACACTATTACTTTGAAGCCACAGTGTGGCCCTTGACAACATAATAACAATGGTCGGGTTCTTAAAGGGGCACCTTCCAGTTAAGATTAATTTCACAACAAATTTACTTTCTGGATTAAAATAACAATGGATAACAAAAGATAGATTAACATTGTAAACAACATAAACAATAGTGTCCCATGATTCTTTGGTGCAATCCCTGGGATTGAGCGGTTCCCCGTTAAGAGACCAAGACATGCATCAGTTGCACGTATGTAACATGCGTTGAATGCATACATGGAGTGAATTATGGACAATCTTCAGGTAAACCCAATTATGGAGATAGTTTGTTGAATGCATACATGGAGTGAATTATGGACAATCTTCAGGTAAACCCAATTATGGAGATAGTTTGTTACATTAACTTTATTGTAAAGGTAATTATGAGAAAAAACAACTTGAAATCACTAAAACATGTACAAATGTGATACAACATCTGAAACGTTCCATGTGTAACCTTGATTAAATGCAATGAGCCCTGGCATACAATTATATACACATAGATCGGTGATGCAAGTTGTTTCAGCGTTACCAGGTTTGTATTAATGTAGTTTTTTTGTAATCGACAATATTGATTTATGTAATATTGTCTCAATTGACATAATTCCCAAGACAGACTACACAGACGTCGATTAGTGCCATATTTCTACTTACGTTTTGAAGGTCGACACAACTTCCGGGTTCCCGAGCGACCCACTGTAAAAATCTTTTCATGCATTATTTGCATAATAATAAAAACAAATAATTTTCAGATTTTCTTTAAATCCCAAAATACCCACGGGTCGTTCAGTTGACAGCACAGTTTATCTTTACTATGTGTTTTCCCCCGTTTGAGACGAAAAACTATATTTTCGGCTTTTTCCATGATAGGACATGAACGTGAAGCTAATGTCGGTTTATAACTGAAACCGGGGCCATGTATACAGAGTTGGCAAAAAGCATTCAGTCTTCAGAAGTTCATTCACTTTATTTTGCTGTTGGTGAGCTGCTCCGCTAGGATTGCCCTTAAAAGTATTTTCGTGTGTGTGTGTGATCTCCTAGGTCTTCACGTATTAATTCTTCTGTGATTTTTTTGGCTGGCCTGGTTTTGCCCAAACTTGGCAGGCAGGTCACACCTTCACTCTAGTTACGTAAAATCTGCAAACAAATATGACCCACTGTTGCCATAGCAACAGCCGGGGGGAATGTCAAATGTATCTCCTCCTACAAATGTAGGATTAAATTCCTCAGACATAGCTCATTCTACTCAGTTTGAGTGTGGGCACAATGCTACTATTTGAAAGTTGGGGTAACTGGTCACCAGGAACGGCATGTTAGCTCTTATGTGATTATTTTGGCTGTGTTGATCTGGTTCAAATTTGGCAGGTAAGTTATAGCTTCAGTCTAGTTAGTTGGTTGGTGAAATCCGAAAAAAAAATCCCGGCCCACCGTTGCCATGGCAACATACCCCAAAACTGATTGTTGTTAATACATTCGCGCCAAATGTATCTCGCCTAACAATTCAAGGAAAAGCTTCACTAAGCTTGAGTGTGGTCACTCTGCTAGGATTGCCTCTTTGTGTGTTTGCATGCATGTGTGATTTCCAGTGTCTTCACCTATTAGTTCTTCTGTGATGTTTTTGGCTGGGCCGATTTTGCTTAATCTCAGCAGGCAGGTCACACCTTCACTGTAGCTAGTAGGTAAAAATTAAAAATTGGAAACAATTCTGGCCCACCGTTGCCATAGCAACAGCCAACAAATTTATTTTTGAATAACTTCGCGCCAAATGCATCTCCTCCTACAAATTTAAGATTGAATACCTCATAGCGCATTCTGCTCAACTTGAGTGTAGGCAAAATGTTACTATTTGATTTGTTTATATCTTCTTTCATTACCGTGAAATTTGAACTCAAAGTTGAGGTAACTTTTCAACAGTAACCGCTTTTAACTCTTCTGTTCGCTCGAACTTGGCAGGAAGGTCGCACCTTCACTTGAAGACACAGCACACACACATAAAAGTGATTTTAAAGGCAATTCCAGTGGAGCAGATCGCCAATTATAATACTTACACTACGCCATCATCTGCATAACGACACATTTTATTTTCTTCCATTGTTTAGAGCCATTGTTTTTTTCTCAGTTTTAAGTAATCCCTATATTCATTCAACCCTTTACAGTGGAAAATTATTAATCACAATTCATCTTAGCGGTTAAGTAGAAGTCTGGTGCCAAAGTACGTACACTGCAATCATGTAGTTATGTTATTCCTACAGTTTAAAACACTCAATAATTTAATAGAGCGATTTAGGAGCAAAACAGTGTCTTGACTTTATTTTTGAAAACTTAAAGGAACCGTAATGGTTGAACAAAACATATATGTAGCAACTGTCTACTCAAAGGCATGCTTCGCAATATTTTTATACTTTTGAAATGGTAGTAGTGAAATAATTAGTAGTCATTGTTTGAATTCTTTATCAATACAACGATGTATGACAACTTCCGTTTCGTGAAATATGTTATAGTCTGATAAGTTTGTATTGCAGAAAGCATACGTGGGAAGCGAGTAGTTGTGACCGGTGCAAGTACCGGTATTGGAGAAAAAGTCGCCTACCAATATGCAAAGCTGGGAGCCAATATATTAATCACTGCTCGGAGAGAGAACCTACTTAAACAGGTGGGTGTTATCATTATTATATGCCATCTGCAGAACATTTTGCATTTCAAAATGCACTTAGAGTTATTGTTTGTACTCTGTAATACTGCCACTGAATTTCATCATTTTGTAAGTATCCATACAATATATGCATTAAAATGGGGCACAACTAAGACGAATTTCATTATTAGTAAACGTTCACCATATTTGCATCATATACTTTAGCATTGTCTTCTGACATTGATGAAATAATATATTAACTATATATATATATATATATATATATATATATATATATATATATATATATATATATATATGAAACGTTTGGTTGAGACACATTTTTCAGGAAAAGAAGTCTCTCAATCGATGCATTATTTAACACAATTTGTTTTCCACAGTGTATTTTTGTCATGAAAAACGATTTTATTTAACCTTTTTAGTAAAATATACCAGGAAAAAATAAAACATAACAAATGCTTTGCTCGCTCTATTAACGCGTTTTAAAATTTGTTGACCATTGTTCATTTTTTTGTATTTCTAAGTCAGTATATAGAGATATATTCTGATGAAAATAATAATTTATTTTCAATGCAGGTAGTAAAGAAATGTTTAGACTTGGGTGCTCAATCCGCACATTACATTTCTCTGGACATGCAAGTCATTAACGAGACTGGTAAATTGATAACTGAAGCTGAGAAGACACTCGGTGGATTGGATTATCTCGTTTTAAACCACGCTCTCTACAGCTTGGAATTATGGGATGGCGATATCGAGGGACTTCAGGCACTAATGAATATCAACTTTGTGTCCTATGTGAATCTAGCAACCAAAGCACTACCCATGCTGTCTGAGTCTAATGGTAGCATCGCTGTGGTCTCAGCTGGTACAAGTGAGTCATTTCGTGTTGTGTTTTCCATGGAAATAACTAATTATATTCACTAGTTCGTGATTGTGCGTGTCTTTCGTATTCATCATAAGTCCAATAGGAAACAGTCAATTATTGTTTTTTTCATTCCTACTTTTGTCCTGATTAGCAGCGCGTTCATCTTTAGCTTGTATCAATTATAATTTACATGCTCATATAATATTAGTACGCAAACAGGTTAAATTTTTGTTAAAGCAAAAATATTAGTAACGCGTGTTCATTCGGTACCACAAAGGTTATTTAGATCAGTACAACATGGATGAAAACAAAATAATAAAAACGTAGTTTAAAATTAACATTGTTTAACACACTTTGCACCGAAAAAAAACGAATGGCATATAATCTTCGTGTCATAGAATACATCGAGTGACTAGTGGGTATTTGCATTATTGTACTCTACTTTCAACAGAGTATGCAAAGTAAATAAAGTATGAATTATTATGACCAGTCGGTTGGAAATCCTGATTCGAACTGTGGAAGCACATTTGAATACCTGATACCCATCCTCCTTCGTTCAAAGTTAAAACATAGATAATTTTTTTCCCGTTTTAAATTCCCGTTATTAACATTGTTGAAAGACGGGTGCTATATTAAATCATCGAAAATAAAGTATTCTTGTGACGATGTTTTTATGATTTGCAGTTAAAAGGCATACTTTGGTCCGAGCCAAACATTACCTAACCCTCGTATTCAATTGTTTTATCTAAACACACATCACAGCTCAGTACAGAATACGCAGTGTGCTTATGATATCGGTAACCTCTCCCAGTAACTTGACGTATGATAATTTGAATTATTTTTTTCTAACAATTTGTTGAACGTTTACTGAAGTCTTCATTAGCACCAATGTCTGAATTGGTCAGATTTGACAATGATTAATTTAACCCACTAATCAGCGGTATTTAGATCATTGGCCCGGTGAAATTAAACGATGTCCGTGAGTTTAAAAGTTGATCACATTATCCCCAAGATTTCCCAACTCTCGTTTGGCAATTTTTTTTGATACATAAAAACACTAAAGCTTTATAACTAAAATCATATTAGCTAATTGATGTCAACGCCATGATATGCAGTAGACGATTAGAGTGTATATTGATCTAGCAACAATACAAACAATGTCAAAAGATAATAAAGGCGGATTAAAAAGCAACAACAAGTCAACAATGACAAACCATGATTTTCGCAACCAGAGTAAATGTAAGGCAACAGACGGACTACTGGTGAGAATGAACATACCAGAAAGAAACTGCGGACCATAACTTAGTGAGTGAGTGAGTGGAAACTAAGAGTGTTCATTAATTGTTCGTAGAATTATTATCATTGTTTTGTTGTTCTTTTTTCTTGCAGGTTTGTTTAGTTTGCCTGGTGTTATTGCCCATTCTGCCTCCAAACAAGCATTGAATGGGTTCTTTGAAGGATTCAGGCTTGAACTCAATTATAAGGAACTAAATGTATCTGTAACACTGCTTTTTCTTGGCGGTGTAGCCACTGATCATGCCATTGATCTGGTACAAGATCGTGACATGTTGGCACAATTCGGCGATCCAGATGAGGCTGCCGCTTTCATCATGAAAGCTACGAGTTCCAAACAGACATGGGCTTACTACCCTTGGGCTGCAGTCAGAATTCCTGAAATAATACATACTATTTCACGTGATCTATGTGATATCATGATGACAAACTCGTTTTTCCCGATGTTGAGAATGCTGAAGATATAAGATACATTACTTAAACAAGTACTCTTCAAACAAAGAGTCTGTCATATCGAATAAACACATGTAGCATAGTGACGTCAGCGATGCATGGATGAAATGAACAGATTGACATATAAATATACATGTATTGTATATGTTGCATCATCTTAAAATATATTTTAGCCATTTCTATTTGTTTTTATATCTTGATCATGGGGTATGATGTATGCTGTCACTAAAAACTATTAACACTGACTTGTTATATAAACTCTTGGTTGTGTTTCAATGTTACAACTTCGAAAATGATTTAACACCGGCAAATACTAAATTATTGTACTTAATCACAGTTATACCTCTGTCAAATACACTCACTCAGTCATGTGTTGAAATAAACAGATTTGTTCCACTTTTTTCATGATTTAAAATCTGCAAACACTAAACTATTGTACTTAATCATTGTTGTATTCCTGTCAAATACCTGTGCCCTCACTCAATCATGTACATGTAATGAAATAAACAGATTTGTTTCACTTTTTTATGTCACAACTATCTATGAGTAATTATTTAGTTTATCGAGTGCTGTTTCTTGATATGTTGAGTCTAGTCAGTGATACTAATGCATTGTGTTTATTCAAATTTTAAAAAAGGCCTGTTTATATTTCTAAATATGCAAAAATGAGCTTCGGAAGTTACAATTCACATTCCCTCACTGATTACTGTGATCACCATAACAATGATAAAATCAGTTGTTATGGAAACACATCTTGAAATATTGCAATCTTAAAGCTAGCCTACATTGAAGGTCACCAAATCAAATATACATTTCATTGCTGTGAGCACTCAAGACCAATGTGTTATGTGAACATGTCTATTCATTTTTGTTCAACTGTGGTATGCACATTAAACATGTTATAACACATGCCAATGACAATTTGTTTCACAATTCAAAATGATCAGTTTTAAGATATACCGTTTTATTTATTCTTAACACATTCATCAAGCTCGTTTGAATACAGCCATTATCGCCTATCGCCGACACGAATACACGGTTAATAAAAGATGAAGACGGCGAAAATATGCACACACTGCAGAGATAGAAAACATGTAATATTCTCACTGATATATTTGTAAAATATTTGTAAATAATAATGCATTTTAAAAAACATTATGCTAATATATTCACGATGCGTCAATTCCTGTGCTCGTGAGTAGTCATTACTTTCTAGGTGACCTGCTTTTATTTTAGGGAAATGTGCTAATTTTCATGCTTTTTGATTGAAGCAAAAATTGAGATAACGGAATGTTTTGTTTTCGACAAAACTTTTTTCAGTAAAATTATAAATATATACTGATCGTTATTATCTTAATACATGTATAACTTGTGAATTTAGGCTAACTCTGGTTCATAGTCCTATGCACGGGCGTATTTACTCTCATAGGGTTGGACCATTCAGCCTCTGTAAATTAGTCATATTAGAATGACTGAAGATTGTTTTTGAAAAGATAGGCGTAGAATGTATGCAATGTGTAAAATTAGAAACAATTAGAAGAGTGACACAAATGTGCTGGTAAAAAGCTTAAGTAAGTTTATTCCCATAGGAATAGTATGAACGGTCAATACAAACAACGTTCCTTTTTCCCTGAATGTATGAACATATTCATTTTGTTTAGTGCAATTACCTGACCTTGTTTGTTGAAAACCATTTATATGTTTTATATGTTACGTAATGAATGTTCGAGCACACATCAAATAGTGTTCAATCATAAAACAACTGTGTAATAATGTCAGCATCCTTTATTTTATGTTTTTGTCATATTACCTCAAACCCTGCAAATGGGATCATGGGAAGAAATGGTGTGAATTGTGATAACTGTCATGAAGGTGACTGACAGGTCATACTTGTTTCAACTCTGGAAGGACAGTGGGTTCTACCAGGTGTGTTTGTAATTTACATAACAAAAGGTGTTTACAACTTTGGAAGGAGAATTGGAATCTACCAGGTGTGCTGTTATTTGAATAACAAAGGATGTTTATGATCTACTGAGTTGCCTACGTGATACAGCTGCTAGCAAGATCACATTCTGATTGGCTTATGTGGAAACCCGGGTGGTGTCACTGCCTATAAATTGGACAGACTCAGGACAGTTTGGGTCGATCATTTCAACTTGGTTTCCGTCATTTCAACTTGCTTTCCTGTGTGTTCTGCTACGACATTGTTTGACAAGTGATACAGGCTACAACCATCATTCTGTGAGACTTGTATGAACTGCTCTGCGATCTCCTGCTTCCAGCGGTGCCCTCCAGAATACCAGCGTTTCTCTGCAAGCAAGACTCCTGTATTTCTACCTTGTTGTGTTGCAGAAGCCATTGACTGTCGTCCATTAATACACCCTGGAACTGTGAGTTATCCCCAATGCACACTTCCCTAAGCAATCACCTATTTTAGTGACTTTATTCATTGTATTTTTCTGTGCTTCATTTCTTGTAATTATTTTGAGAGGTATTAAAGCCAGGAGCTTTAACTCGATATTTTGGTGTATGTGTATTTAATTTCCAGTACTATCGTCTTGTCTACCCCATACTAGCAGTGAAAGAACCCCCTGTCCAGTGTTGAGTTCTATGTGTGTTCCTCTCAATTGTGATAAGTAGGCCTTACACTGTGACAATTAATCTGTAAATATCATATGTAACACTCATAATTTTTTCTCCGAGCAGGGGTCCGTATATTAGCTCCAAGTGTTGCATATTGGTAGGCGACAAAACCCCTAATAGCACCAGTCACAATCATTCGCTTCACACGTATACTCTCTACAATAAATAGACACATTATATATTCCACTGCAAAATAAAATAAGCAGGTATGTTATCTCTGAATTAACTGTTTTAAATCAACCCACATATATCATTCATTTCAATATACGTGCAAAGATGTACGAACATGGATGAGATGTTCAATAATAACCCTTTATCTTTGGATTTTACTAAATATGATTTGTAAATCAACTGATGAATAGTACAACAAGAATTGTCAATGACAAATATGAATGTCACTGCATGCGTTTACTCTATAACATTATGATAGATATGGTTGAAAATGACTAAACAAGAGACGGACAATACCACTATTGCCTTATCTGAGCTGGAGCACAACAACAAATATTAATGTCGTGCGTTTACTTTGACCCTACAACATATAATTATATATATATATATATATATGAAATATCATGCCACATATCATTTTACATACTGATTACATAACTTGAACATTTTATGGTTAGGACAATGTGGTTGAAATCAAGTTTATTATTGTGTAGCTGTAATAAATGACCATCCCTAGTCTTGTTGGTATGAATTTCACGATCAAAACTCTTCTACTAAAAATCACATTATATATCATACTAATATATATATATGCTAATGCATGGTGCAATCATTATTGCTTTTATCCTACCAGAACCTTTTTATCGCTCGAATCAAAGAGGCTAATCATTTGCCGTAAAAATGGTCGTGACTTCCGACGATTCGTGAAATATATCATTAATCACATCAAATGTCTTCGTTCAAAAACTGAAATAAACAATTTAAATAAATCTTGTAAATTAATATAAATAATACAACATAATACATTATATAGAATAACAAATTATGTTGATATACGTTCTCAAATGAGAGTATGTTTTGCTCCAGAATTTGAGATTTATACGTGACCATACATTCATTGCTTGTACGCTTCCCCAAAATTAGTTCAATACCTATATCCTGTCTGAAATAAATATGTATAATGTGTGTTATGCATTATATACGTAAATACAAAATATAAATTGCAAGACAAGGATTATATACGTTAAGGCGAAACAGAACAAACTTGTCATAGCACGATGTTAAAATGGCGTTAGTCGGCCATCATGCTGAACTTACAATCACAATATTTCATTGAAAACCTGTAACTAAAGATATGACACCATAGTTACCAAACAAAGATCATGTAAAATAATAATAAAATAAACTGTAAAACAAGTACGATAGTAATTGTAATACAACAGTTTCTATCTACAGCCACATGTAAAATTCGGCATACATACCCAATCATAGATTTTTAAAATCGGGTTTAATGAGGTAGTGGTCACAATTATAATATTCTATATCTAAAACGACACTGAAGAAGTTAATAACCCATTTATACATCTACTATGCGCCGGTACCAGATCATCTAGATATATATGTAAACTTCACAAAGCCTTTCGAAGAAGCTAATAATGAAAATGAGAAAACATACAAAACAACTTGAATGGTTTATGATAGTTTTATTATAATGGTTCACTTACTCAAACATGAGGATGAATGCATATATAAAAGTGAAATTATTAGATACAAAACAAAAGTACTAATAATTTTCCCTGTGATCAAGATAACATATATATTTTAAGATGATGGAACGCAACACAAAAATAAAAACAATAAATCCTATAATTCCATTTCAATCTGTACACATTCATCCATGCATCAGCTGACGTCACATTATCACATGAGTTTATTCAATATAATATGTTTGAAGAAAGTATACTATATCGTCAGTATTCTCAACATTGAGAACAACCAGTCTGCTATGATGACATGACATAGATCACGTGAAATAGTATGTATTATTTCCATGATTCTTACACCAGCCCAAGGGTAGTAAGCCCATGTCTGTTTAGAACTTGCCGCCTTCATGATGAATGAGGCAGCCTCAGCTGGGTCACCAAAATGTGCCAAAGTGTCACGATGTTGTACAATGTCAATCACACCACCGAATAAAAGCAAAGTTACAGCTACATCGATTTCCGTATATTTGAGTTCAAGTCTCAATCCTTCAAAGAACCCATTTAACGCGTGTTTGGAGGCTGAATATGCAACAACGGCAGGCATACTGACCAAACCTACCAAACAAAAAAAATGACTATTGTAATATGAACAATTAATGAACTTATGGCTACTGGAAGTATACTTCATATGTTATGCAATATGATGTATTGTATGT